GAGCTTTGTTAGCACCGTTCAGAATATGCATCGTCGAGCAGAAAATAGCATTGCTCGCTTCAGGGATCGCTGGCGTCGAGGATGTTTGAGCGTGAGGATCGTTGCACGTCGAGGGTCGTTGAGCATCACAGAGCATTGTTGAAGGCGAGGATCGTTGACGTGGAGCATCGTTGGCGTCGACGATCGTTGAGCATGTCCGAGGGTCAGGATCGTTGACACCGACAATCTTGAATGTAAGGATCTTCAGCGCCGAGAATCGTTGAGGGTGAGGATCGTTGACGTCGAGCATTGTCGATATCGAGTATCATTGTGGATCGGGCATCGTTATTGCCGAGGATCGTTGGTATCGAGGATCGCTGGCTTTGAGTATCGTTGGCTTCGAGTATCGTTGATGTCGAGCGTCGTTGATGTCGAGCACGGTTAACTTCGAGCATCGTTGACGCCGAACATCAGTTGATGTCGAACACGTTGGCTCCGCGCAGATGTCTAATAGAGTTTATGTCGAGCATCTTCGACGTCGAGCATCGTTAACGTCGAGCATCGTTGGCGTCGAGTGTCGTTGGTGTCGAGCATAGTTAGCTTTGAGCATCGCTGACCTCGATCATCTTTGACGTCGAGCATTGTCGAATGTGGAGCATACCTGAAATACGAGCATCGTTGAGCATCGTTGACGTCGAGCGTCATTGGCGTCGAGGATCGATGGCCTCGAGCATTATTGACATCGAGCATCGTTCATGTCTATCGTGATGTCGAGCACCAAGGCGTTCTCCTTGGGGAGTTTGGCGACATGTCTCCCGGGCACAACGCGCAAGACGATATGGTCAACTTAATGCATAGCACGTCATGTTGCATCTCTGTCTAGCGTTGAAACGAAATTCACCGAACGACAGTAGCCATGTAGTTACCCTTCGGCTCACGCCTATGTGGGCAAAACGGAAGGAACTTCTGCCGGTGGTCTTCGCCGCCCAGGACAAGTGTCACGCGAAATACGCTCTGAAGCAGCAAGACGTGCAGGCCGAGAAACGGTCTTCAGATCGAATAAACTTTCAAACGGTTTGGGGACTTTTCACAATGGTGGTACGGCACCAGCTGCTGTACTTGCACCCCCCATCACATGCAGGGCTCCGGGATGTGGGCATGTTGAAAGTAACCCCTCGTGTGCGTGTGTGTGGGAGAGAGAGAGGGAGTGATTAACTGCACGCAGCGGAATGTTTTGTGGACAATTTTATGTGTGTTCGTGTTTACTGAGTGTGTGAGCGTATCACGTTATTTAGCGTTTGATTTGCCGCACATCCTTTTGTCGAAACCCGGCTATTACTCCCTCTCTCTCCCACTAGCTCTCACGTTTGTGTAGTATTACTTATGATGTGTGACGGTGTGTGTTGCGCCTGAGAAAGCGTGTGCTCCTACTTCTGCCGATATATTTTGGATTTCCTGCGAAGGCTCTTAAAGTTCGGGAAGCCTCCACACGAAACGGAGGCAGGTGTGGTTGACTTTAGGCCTCGAGAACAAGTGCCACGGATGCCTGGCGGTCGTGCGGTATGCACGGTCATGTACCGACGAGCTCCCTGCGAGCCCTTCAGAAGGACGGGTGAACAGACTCTCTTATCACCAGAAGAAATATGTGCCAAAAGGAGTCCGAAGAAAGATACGACCACCACCACAAACAGCAACGACAAACTACAGCAAAGACTGACGGGGTCAACAATGATCAGCGCTCACCTGATCACCCGGGTTTCTGGCGCCGAAAATATACTCGGCAGCTTGTTGATGTTTTTCTTTCATCCTGAAGTTCAGCTCTCTCCCGCGACGGGCCAGATCGCGTGCGAGCAACCCATCTCCCCTTCGGAACGCCTCTGTGGCCGAAGTGAAAAACTTGTTCCGTGCCCTGTATTGTTGTCATTGCCAATTTCATCGTTACTGCTGCTGTTGCTGTGCAGTTAGGTTGGCTGTATTGTTGAGGCTGTGTTGACACAAAAGCATCCTGACCTCCTCGAGTACCATTGGAGGCAAATTGAACGAAACCGCACGCGTGAAAATACAAATTGCCGAATGCAATGCTAAGTTACCAAGAGAAACATCGACATCCCGCGCAATGTGTTGAGGAACGGAGCGTCACGCATGGCCGCACAGGGAGGATGACAGCATTGCAATGGCCATGCTTCATCACAGCAGTACCTCGCCAACTCCGCCGCATCTTCCCTGGCTTGCTGGTACTGCTTCCCCACCGCATCTCCCGTCGAAACCCATTCGCCTCCACCTCCGACGACAGCAGGGGGGTATCGGTCATCTCCGACGGCTCTCCTCCACGCATAGGGGGACGGACACGCGACTGCCGCGGCCCTTCCAAGCCCATTGGCGCTTCCCGCTGGGCATGATGACGAGCCCACGACATCGGCAAAGGATATGCCCGGCTCCGCGCTCAGGCTGGAACCGCCGCCTCCATCCTGTTGGGCTATTCCCGAGCTCATCTCCCGCGGGTGGAAAGCGTTTTCCGGCGTTGATGTTTTTGCGTGGGGACTACCGGGTTTCAACAATGCCTGGAGGTTGACCGCGGTGAAGCGTGTCTGCAGAAGAAAGAACAATGAAATAGCGGCGTAAGGGTGAGGTGGGTGAGAGGGAGGAGGGCAGCCTGTGCACCCAAGAATGCCACTGTGGGGCTTGACACTCCACCAGGAACGAGGGGCGGCTTGGCCTGCTGCACCTAGTCGGTATAGTACGTTCGAGCTCAAAAGTATACGGATCTCGTATATACGGTGGGTTCGTAGCCGTGGCCACGAGGTTCTCAATTGTTGAAAAGGTAGGGCAAGAAAGCTCCGCAGGCAAAGTGACACCGGGTGTCGATTTAACGCCAGGTTGACGTGAGTGCAGCCAAAGACAACAATACCAATAAAGGAAAAACAATCATGCCCGTGGAGATTTCAGACAAACCTGATCGGGACTGATGCTAGACATGATAGATGTGGTGACAAACGGCGGTCCAAGTTGTCCACCTTGTTGAACGCCGTATATATACAAGGGCAGAACTACCGATGTCATTCTCCTTGCTCTTGGCTTTCGACATAATGAAACGAGACACGCACACGGCCAATAGAGGCAATCGTCTCCTCGAGAAATTTCTCTCGATTAAACTCACCCCTCTCCCTCCCAAAAATCATCTCATTTTCTGGCGAAAACGTACATAGTTCACTACAAAATTCACTCAGCTCCGAGTACAAATCATCACAGCTTCTCAACAGTTTTCCAAGCATTGTATAAATTTGACATGAACTGAACATGAACACGAACATTCGCTCCATTGACTCCGAGAACAAACTCGCTTTCCCAAGATATTCCTCCGTTCACATGAATTTCGCTCTACTCCAAAAAAACAACTTACCGTGTCCAATTGGAAGTCCTCCGCGCATATATATTTTTTTCATTCTGATCGAATGATAATTCACTCCTCTCCAAGAACGTATCGCTGTTTCCGACGAACTCCGGCCGTTCACATCAATCCCTCCCGCACCACAACTAATGAATCTTTGTTCACCTTACGACCTCGTCCTCCTTTCCGCCCGCGGCCCCGTTGCTGCCCTTTCGGCGCTGATACCGCCGCAAGCAAAACGTCCTTGTCATCCTTCTTTTCATTCCATCCTTCTTCTGCTTCCTCTCTTTCTGTAGCCGGACTGTCGTCCCCTATCCGCGGCCCGGAGACTCCGGCGTCAGAAGGTGCAGCAACCGCAGCAATCGTGTCCAAAGCGACTCCGCTGACACCGTTCTTAGTGGACGATGGCGTTTGATATGGAGCACTGCCCTCAGTGCCGACCATATCACCGTCGATTGGCGGAGAGAGCCGCGTTGCCGTTGACGGCAAGGACGGGAATTGGTCAACCCCGGACAGTTGTCTCTCGTCGCTGCTGCTGCCGCCGCCACCACCGCTCTGAAATTCCCGAGGCAAATGATGAAGTAAGTCCCGAGCGGCGGACGGATCCCGGACGGCAAGAGGATGGATGCAACACACAACCCGGTAGCAGCACAATAATAATGTTGGACAGCCGGACAGACAGGCACACAGACAACCAGACAGACAGGTAGATAGAAAGCCAGACAGACCGGCAGGTCGACGAACTTGCCAGCAGCAGGCGGGAGGTGAGAGAAACACGTGTTGCCAATGGCGAATGTCCATCGAAGCGGGCAGAGCACCCAGGGCACATTCCTTGTAGTACCAGGCGCTCTGTTTTGTGTGAAAATTGCCATTCTGCTCGGAAAGCTTTCATGCGATGTGCGATTCCTCGTGCACTTCGCACCCATGAAGCCCTCTGGTCTTGACGTTCATCATGTGAAAACAATGAAATCGTGCACGTTCGCATTGCCGAGACCCATACTCCGGTGGCCCAAACACTCAAAGGGAACACAACACCGGGTCTCGCTCGTAAACGACAGTTGGATCCCTTGGTCTATTCAAAGTTCCATGGCATCTGCCATCTTCGTAGTTGTCGTGTTCAAGGAATACAGGGGCACCACACCAAATTGAAACTTGTTCCATGAAAGCATACGCATACACCGCACCACGTGTGACAGATTGCACAGGAATATAAAAATCGACGTATCATACAAAGCGAGCCCGGTTATATAGAAATATGCAAAGGGCCATGCGAAATATCCCTCCCGCCCCTTCCCAGACTTCACCTCCTCCGCCGTTATGCCCGGCTCGCAGTCAGGTGGAGAAAATCCAGCTGCTTCGTCGGGAACGACCAAGTCGTGCATAAAGTAACAATCGTCCGAGGAGTTGACACAGCATCCCTGCAGCCAGTAACGGCAGGGGGTAGTGGCGAAGTCGTGGCTGAAGGTGCAGTCGCTCCTCCGGCACTCTCCATCTAGCAGGAGGTGTCGGCAGGGCTTGACGGCTAGAGAGGCGTCGCAAGCGATCTTGTTCGATTGTGGAGGTCGGGATTGTCGTCGGCGGAGGAGGTCATGGGCGGGGACGAGGAGGGAGAGGGGGGGTGGGGGATTTGGGTGCTTGTCTGGTTCATCCGACCAAATACTGATCGCATGCTACTTTTTCGAGATACCTGCAACACTTGAACGGCTCTTCTGGCTTTTCTGAAAATAAATAAGTAAAATCCCTTTATTTGTGGTCTCTGCCCCTGTATTGCTCCTTTTGAGCATCATCTAGTACCAATCGTGCTCTACAGCTCCTGCCATTTCCTCGCTCCACGATATTGCCCAGAACACGTCTCTGCCATTAACGTTCGCCGAAAGATAGAAATCCTCCAATTTCATTTTGAAGGAGTTCCCTCTCTGGCGTACCGTAGCCGAGACGTGGAACTAGTACCGTAGCCGAGACGTGGAACATCGGGGTTCCACCGACTAGGTCCGCACAGCACCAACCGCGAAACACCATGAGGTGCTCGGCGGATGGCAGTAACAGTGACCTTTATCCTACCCGAAACCGTGTGTGATACTGGTGGGGGGGCGTAGAGCCTCTCGATAACATATCGATGATGGTTTGCGCAGGTGAACCAGTGGTCCTTCTTCTAACAACTGTGTCCCAAGAGTGAATGAAAGCACCGAAGCTCGATACGTCCGGCACGCGATGACTTCTTCCAGTCTGAAGAACACAAACTTCAACGCAAAACCACGCCGATGCACCTTATCCCATCGAAACACACGCTGCAGCGAGAGGGCATGGCGTGGAACCAGAAGGAGTTTTGAGGCTGTAGCCAAAATGGTTGTCACCTGGAGTGCCAGGAGGACAGCAGCGGAAGCTCGATCCAGGTTCCAGTCGCTTTTTGCCAGCGCAACCTTTGTGGTAGAGAGTGACCGCCTCCCCGAAGGGGGAGAGGGAGAGTCCGGGTGAGTGAGCCAACTTTCACAAATATCAACAATAACAGCCGCAGCAAGAGCAACAACGCATACACACATGTAGTCCTACCCCCTGACATGTGGCTCGCCGCCAACCGCCAAGTTCTAGCATCACCTAGGAAGAGATCAAGTCGGTTACACAGAGGCAGGGGGGGTGGTGCTGAGCGTCTAGCGGAAATCGAGAAACACTATGTGAGTGTCTTAAAAGGGGCACACGGCCAGTACAGAAGGTAGATTCACGGGGCATGCACCTTGGTCCGCGGGAGCTTTTGAGAGGCCACCAAGCTATTCTGTGCGGCGGTAACGGCTACCGCGTGGACTAAAGATGGACAGGGTTAAGCCAGAGGGCGGATAAAATTGGCAGCGCAGCACAGAATGGTACGGCATCGCACAGGAGACGCGAAAAGCATTTTGCACGAAAACCTTTCACGCCACACATCGCGTCACACCACCAAACGTAACGAACACGGAGTCAACCTCGTTCCACACGTGCTTCGCCCGTTCACCTGCAAGCTCTCCGGGGAACAGTCCGAGAACCCTTCCGCCAGGACCTCTAGCACCTCCGCCTCCAACTGTACCTCTGCGTAGTACGCGTCTTGGTCTTGCCCCGTCCCCTCCTCTTGCCCCTTGCCGTCGTACAGCTGAACCTCCTCTGACGGTGAAACGGCGGTCAGCTCGCCCTCCTCCCAGGCACTCTCACCATGCCAAGCCTCGTGCTCAACGCTTCCCTGTCTCAGCGACAAAAACAAAAACATCAACGAAACCAACCGCAGCAGCGAATACGACGACAACTGCAGCACAGACAGCGAGACAGAAAGAGTGCTCGGCCAGCCTTACCGCATGGCTTGGGTCCCCTGCGGGCAACGGAAGGATGGCGTCGCCGTGGCCTCCCGGTTTGAACTCCTGAGCAGATGCCGACAAAATTGACAACTGCCCCGACGCCGACAGAGTGGGCAGTCCACCTGCAAATCAGTACAGTTGCAAATCTTTCGTGACGGTTCGCCTAATGTGTCAACCTTTAAGCACAGCCTACTTTCCACACACGATATGTGGTCGTAGCGCCAGTCCTCTCACTCATTCAAACACTGAGCCTGGGATGTTTGTGTATTTCGTATGATTGGGCCGGCACTGTACACAACAGGGGCGCGTTACTATCGTCCAGGCAGCAGGTATGCACCAACTGTACCCGTGAGCGATGGACGTCTTCTTTGGGGGCGGGGGGAAGTAAGCCAATGTCTGTTGCGCTCGCGATGTGAACGCACACCCGCCAACTCCAACCGTTCTTGTGTCTGAGTGCATGCGTTTGGGATTGTAGCGGTTGCAGAATTTAACTCAAGCCCAATCGTTGTGAGCGACTCACTTACCCAGCCCAACGTTAAGGATGTCCGATATGTCATCCGTCTCGTGGAACACGCCACTGTCATCGGCGGCTGCGGCGGCTGCGGCGGCGTCGCCACCAGGTCCAAAACGTTCTGCGGAACGACCCGCAGCCTCCATCACACCTATGTGTTTCGGCTGGAGGCGCGCTCTGCTCGCTATCTATAACGTCGCAAGTCGCGATGCCCTCGCCAAGGCTTTAATGTCGTCCCGCCAGGACTCGAAGAAGTCACCGCTGCCAGTGCGGTGAATATTGGAACATTCCGAGGCTCGTTCGCGCTGCGATGAAGTTGGCCCACTGCGAAACAGGGGCGCCGCAAGTGGAGCGTGAGGGGGGATGTGTGGGTCGGGGGACGTCGCATGCTTCTGCTCGGACTTGTTAAGCGCTTCGATGCCATCATCAGCACGGGAGCGGCAACAATCCACAATATGTTGCAATTTGTGACGTACATGGCCCGCAACATGGGTTTGCCACTCTCCGCCTCAACGACACGGTCTCGGCTGCAATATGTTGCCGCTACGCACCGTAAGTGTTCCCCACAACCAAAACCCGAAAATGTGCTCTTTATTAAATGTTTACGAATAATGAACACCCTATCACGAATCGAAGAAAAGGCGTCGCCTCCAGGAGAAGCCCCGTCCTGCGCGTGGTACTACCCCGCACACAAACGGCTAAAAGCTGGCCAGGAGCTATGTCAACCGTGTTTGCAGGAGAACAACCGACCGATGCACACCACATTGAGGCAGTACATCAAAGGTGACTACCATCCTCTCTCTCCCTCCGCCGATATGAGTCTCTGCCATTCAGGGTTATTATGTGCCTGTTGCTCGGTCGAAACACGGGGGTATTCGAGTTTTGGACAAAAGGCACCAAACACCCCATCATGTGTGTTGCGACGACGGCCCGACAGGGGAGAGCGGCAGGGCGCAGTCAGCAGGAGACGGAGGATACACACACAAAAAGAGAGAGGGGGCGACGTGGTACGCAGCCACAGCAGCGCTCCCATGAGGGACAAGGTGTGCGGTCATGTCATGCGAAGGGCACGGAGGGCAAATAGCGTCGGAGACAGGTTTGAGTCTTGAGCAGAATGTGCGGCTTGCCGCTCGACTGACCGAAAGTCGGCATATGGCCAGCGTTTTGAAGTTGTTTGACTGTTATCGAAGCTAGTCATCATGTTCGTGAAACACTCACCGGCAGTTCACAGCATGTGTTGAGTGCAGCTCCCGCATAAATAAACTCAACATGTTTCGTTCCTTTGGCGCTTATGTGCTGTATGAAATTTCGCGCACAAAAGCGCAAACCAGGTCTATTGTTGCTTCCTGATAAACAGACCGAAAAGCAAGGCAGGTTCGTGAACCCCTGGCACAACCATGATGAGGCGGCCAGTCGACTATGAGAGGATAAACGGGGCAGCAAAGGGCTCAACACGACAACCACCGCCACCTCACGAGGGGCCAAGCGTAGAAAATACGAAAACCGTTGTATGAGGACACGACCGTGGCCTGCGACAGCAGGAGGGAGATGACAAGACGCGTTGCACGATATGTGCGGGACTGCATGTAATTGAGGTGGCAGGTGTCCGCCATATTCTCCTTTTTCTCTGTTCACTGATCCCCTCCCTAGACCTGGATGTACTACCGTACATTTTCTTCTTTCTATTTGACACGCGACTGGACTTATTTTTACGCGTTGGCGTGCTCGGGGCGTGAGAGAGTCTGACCGGCTAGAAACCGTCACGGTACTACAGAATTGTCTTTTACGTAGTGGGACCAAGGGACAAGGATAAGAACGCGCGAGGTTGTTTGCCTTTTTGGTGATCTTCTATGCTTTATTGCCTGCTCTTGTTTCGAGCGAGCGGTGGGTTCTGTGTATCGACTCCCGGATCCCCTTTGCTCGGCATGCCACCTGCTGTGAAGTCTGTTTTTTTCGCGGGGTACAGCAGTAAGACTGCTGAGTGTTTCCGGCCTAGTTAAGACTGCCGTACACAACGAAAATCTCACGAATCCCATCAAACATCATTTGAATCGTTGATTGTTCATGAGGTGATTGATCGCACTTACTTATAGACAGTATGATATTGCGTCTTTGGCCTGTGACCACCGACAGCGCCCGGCCAAGTAATTAGTGCAGGGATTAGATATCTAGACATTACGGAACAGAGATCGGAACGAGCTTGTGTTGTTAGCGACAACACGACGGGCAAGAACACATAGTGACAAGTCTAGGCGCGGCGCAAGGGATTCTCAGTTCCACCGCATCGGTACGTAGGTACATAGGTATCGTACTATCGTACATCGTACAGCAGTAAATCGTGTCAACATTCCGAGCAAAATCGTGCGTGCGAGAAGTCAGAAAGTAAACAAAACGTCGACAACGTGAACATACCTGACGCCACAGGAGAAGCACCGCGACACGCAGAGCTGGGTAGTGTGGTGGCACTGCCACAACCAACGCTAGAGACCACGCTCAAAGACTACTACAGTATTAATATTATAGTCATAGTCTTTGACCACGCTCGCTCTATTCCAGGAGGTTCCGTGAATCATTCTGACATATGATTCCCTCAATGATGCGCCGGAGCCCCCTCGTGCTTCGCTGACGCTCCTTGTCGTGTCCGATGGCATGTGTAAGACCCGCGACAGAGAGAGAAGGGGAGGAAGACACAATCCGGGCTTGAAGATATGGACGATCAAAGCTTGTCACACGCATCCCCCGTGAAGAGAGAGATTGCCGGCGGCGGAAACGGTGGGAATAGAGAAGCCGAGTACGCAGCTGCCGCGGCTGCAGCCCTCGCAAAGGGACCCAAGAGGTGGATGCTTGCCACGGCGTTGTGATGCCTACGCGCTTGCTTATATGACGTGGGGCGGGGGGGATTTGGGCTATGACGACAGATTTCTGTTTTCTTGTTGAAAGCGGTATTATTGTTTGGTAGAGTGCATATTGCGCGAGAGGCCTCGTGTCCTGCGGCCCGTGCTGGCTCTACTCTACATACCGGGTCATAAGATACCGCCACCCCTGAAACACCGATTTTGAAAGCTCGACTAGTCTTCAGCAAAGGAAGCGACGGTGCTGAAAACGACGGCGTTGGAACGGCCTCGTCGAGAGCTTTCCGAAAACGTACCATTTTGTTGTTTGAATCCACGTCGCTGTTGAGTAATCGAGCTCAGAAAATCGGTCCAGGGGGGGGTGGTATCCCACGTGACCGACCAACCCTGGTAGGTGCCGGCCTACAGCAGGTACTATGTACCACTAGCTAACAGCAGTCAACGATGATGTGTGTGTGTGTGGCCGTCGCTCAAAGATGTGGTACAGTTTGAATTCGTACAAAAGCTCAAGCGGTAGATACAACCGTTGGTGACCCTCCATGGCCGTCGCACAAAGATGTGGTACTGTTTGAATTCTCACACAAGCTCATGCGGTAGATACAACTCGTTGGTGACGCTCAATGCCCCGGCCGGCCTTCGGGAAACCCCACCATCAATATTGTGAGCGGCTATACGAACGAAAAACGTCGTTCTCTTGCCCATACTTCCGTGGAGAAAAAATGCTGTGTGTACGGCACCACGGGTATTACACCCCAGGGATAACACTTTTGCCTCACAAGACACCGCCGGGTGCAGCCGCGTATTATATTCTGAGAGTGGGGGGGAGAAGGTTTCTTGTGTAGCCCGGGCGATAATTTGCAGTTCTCGCGGGAGCCATGAAGGGAGTGCCATAACCAGGGTTTGTGAATATGCTTACTGCTGTGTCACCGCCTGTGAAGAACTATACCGAAAGCACTCCAAAACGAACTCGAGTGCAAGGTAACACCCTTGGTAGAAGCGTGCAGTTCTCTTCTGTTGCTACCGTTTCTATCTTTGATCCGGAGGATATTTTGCCTTCCCATGCTGCCCCCTCATGGGGTCCCAGATCATGGCAGATAGAAGTGTTTTGTGTTTTCAACCGCACTAAGACTGACGTCTTTTCATTGGTCAGCTGGTTAGCGCCGTCGATGCTAATAATAAAGACACACATACACCACCCCCCCACACACACAACTACAATACCTCATCTCAGCAGCTCCACGATGTCTGGTCTAACCACCATCTACGAACAACAAGAACTCTGGTTCGGTTGCACCGATTTCGAAGAACGATGTTTGTACGATCATGCGACATCATTGCTAAACGCGCGGACGGAGCCCGTGAACCTCGGACCTTGTTCCAACGGCATTCAACAAAACACACCAACCGATTTCCATGCACCCCTCCTCCGGGGTCGTGTTTTCTATGCGCAAAACTTCCCCGGGGACACATTTTTTATGCGCAGAAAAATATGTCTCCGGGGATATCTCTACGGTAGGGGGAGATCTTAAAAAAAAAAAAAAATGTCCCCTGGATAATTCAGCGTTTTTGTGCCAATTTCGGCCAAATTGGGGGGGTGGGACAATTCAGATGTTATTACAGTACACAGATGGCTAGTCTTTCGGATCACCTCGGGCAAACATTCGCACATCACCTATGCCCTTCAGATGACCTACATACAGGTCGCCTCTGCCCTACCGATCACGAGAGCCATACCCTTCGAAAGAGCCAGCTCGATCTGTAGGATCTGATCTGTATGAATGAAATATTTACAAGTTTATTACAGCGGATACACGTTCCGAGCTTCTGGGATATGTATGCACCATGATATAAAACTGAGGTCGTTTGCCTTTGTGAGAAAGATACACAGCGACCGGACGTCGCAACATACGGTATTTGATTTTGGACGTTCAGGAACGCGCCCAACGCGTGCGCGTGCGGCCCAAGGCCTTGGCTTTCCCTCGGCGATGTAGTATAAGAATGTACATGTCGCTGCGAACGAGATTCACACGTACGCGAGGATGACGGAACGTCGAAGGACGAAACACGTATATTGCATGTATGCATGCGTGCGTGTTGTCCACACAAACCCTGGTGCACCAGTCGTTGTTTCTAACGTTATGTCGCGGGGTTCTCATGGTGCAGTCTCATGCTCCCCTTCGTACAGATAGTCAGTCCCCTGTGAGAGAATTATATTTATCGACCGGAAAGTCTGGCTGCGGTGTTGTACAGTTGCATGTTTTCTTTTTTAAATGTGAACATGCTTGGGGCTACGCGCGAGTGAGTTTTCTTTTGTCGCTTGATCCCACAACAAGGCCGGCTGAGCTTTATCCTTCCACGAAGGGCATGGCACGCGATACATAGGGTTGCACACACTATCTGTGGTATGATACTACACGGAGCGTTTGTCAACGCTATATCTCGGTGTTGCGTTCAGCTCCTTGGCACGGCATTGAAGAGGTTTATCGCTGTCTCACCTCGGTGTTGGTTTCAACGTCTTGACGCGGCATCAAACACGGCCATCGCTGTCGGTGTGACCTTGACGTGTTGGCACGACATCGACCATCGCTTTTGCCATTGTGGGCAACCTCTTGGGACACGACACTTAAAATACGTTCATCGATGTGGGTGTTTGTTTTCAGCGGCTGACCACGACATTTTACACGGACATCGCTGTCGGTGTGGTTTTCAACGGATTGACGCGACGTCGAACGCGTTCTTTGCTGTCGATGCGGTATTGGTATATTGAGGCGCATCGCCTTCGCTGTCGTGTGCAACCTCTTGGACACGACACTTGACTCGTTCATCGCCGTGGGTCTTGTCTTGACACGACATCGATCACCTTCATCGTTGCCGGTCGGTTTGACTTTTTTTACGTGACAGCAGAGGCAATGTAGCGGGATTCCTGGTAAAGGCCTACCAGATCTTCGACACTCCTGCATGGTCCGACCTGTGCGGGTGGGGGGAAGGGGGCAACACGGTGGTGATCCGCAAGCAGGTCGAGTTTGCTCAACGCATCCTGCCCCTGTTCTTCAATCACTCCAACCTCCAGAGCTTCGTCAGACAGGTGTGTGCAGGCGTGTCTGAATGTGTGTCTGTTTGTTATTTTTAGCATCAACGGCGCTGACCATTGAAAATGCGTCAATCTGAATGTGTGCGCGGGGAAGCATCGACCAGGCTAACCGGCCGAGCACTGGAAGACGTAAGGGTCAGAGGGTAAAATTCAAGGTTGCCCTGAAGGGGGACACAAATCCGAGGACTTTAGTGTCGCCTAGAAACGCCGCTGAGTAGCCCTCTCTATGTTTTTCCCTTTCGAAGTCGTGTTTGTTGTTTGTCTTTTTTTGCATGTTGGCATCAACTGCGCTAACCGGGTGCCCATGGAACACACCATTTGCGTGCCTGTGTGTGGTGTATGTTTCCCGTCTCCTTCTGGTGTCGGTGCTTGCCTCGCTAGCTTGTCCATGCTCTTGTGTTCGCTCGCTCACCCGCCGAGACCTGACATTCCTTTCCGAATTGCACCTGGGCGGCTGGCGCGCCATATCCGCCCTGTTGGGTGTCGTCGATCGCTGCTCTTGTCGCTGGCTCTGGTTGGCGTGTGACGTGCCAGCTGAACATGTACAACTTCCGGAAGGTGATGCAAGACCCCAGCAGCGGGGAGTTCAAGCACGACCTCTTCCGGAAGGTGACCAACGTACCGCAACGCTAACGCACCGCAAGTTGATTACTTGTTGGTGTGTCGGTCTCTTTTGTTGAAGAAGTCGATGGCTTCGGTCTCGTGTCTTGTCTGTTTTGTTGATGAAGTCGATTGCTTTGGTGATGTGTAGGTCGCTCTCTCTCTTTATTGGTATCGTCGTCCTGTCCTGCTTGTTCCGTGACCACCGCTTTGTGGCATCTATCTTGGCAAGCCTACAGACCGTTTCGACCCACCCCGCCCCCACCGCTAGTATAGACTATCGCCATAGCAACGAAGAAGGCAATGCTGAACTGAACAATACGTCTTCGATGTGTACGATTGGTTTATTAAACCTGGTAGTTTTCCTATCGACAGTTTTCCGTAAGTGTTGCCGGTGGTTCCTCGTCTCTCCTTTTCTTTGGTGTCGTCGGTTGGGATTATAGTTCTATCTGGGGGGGAGGGCGTGCTCTGTATGTCCCATGGTCGGTCGTGCTTTCCTCCAAACGGACACCGTGAGCACCTGAGATAGAAGAGAAGACGTTTCATTTTGTGCCCAAGAGGTGTTTTTTTTCGCCACCCGTTTGTCCAGGCACGCCTTGAATTTTTCGTTAGGAAATGGGTTTGCCTGATTATGTCCTATATTGTTTGGTACACGAGGTGTGCGTGTTGTTTGCTTTTGCACACCACGTTGTTGAGTATCTGTGGACGCTAGTATTGTCCTGCATGCAAGCTGGTCTTATTTTTACTTCAGGTTTATTCGAGTTTTGCCTCAAACTCGTGGTTTTGGCTACAGGGCCTTCATCCAGATGACGCGACGAGCGGACGCTTTTTATGTCCTTGGCTTTCTCGCGATGGCCGCTGGTGTTCGTGGACCGTTATTTTCGATGGACAACAATTTGGTTGCTTACAAGGGATATGTTTCTACCGGCCGATTCCGGCATGTTTGCTTCCACGAATTACATACATACGTGAACTTTCATGGATGGCGTGCGACGTCTTACGTGGCTCCTGTGGTCACTTTCGTCATCTGCACTTTGGCCATGCCCCCCCACCCATGCCATGCCCCAGGGTAACGAGCACCTGCTCCACAAGATCAAGCGGAAGCAGAGTGCGGCAGCGGCGGCGACCAATGGGACTGCCAGCAGTACCAGCACATTGCCTCGTGAGTCGAGCTTCAAGCGCAAAACAGAACAACAAAAATCAAATAAAGATGGAACGGAGGTCGTGCGGGATGGTGGAGCGGGACGGACTATCTCACGACCATGGTACTGGTAGCGTTTTGTTGGACAACTTGCCTGGGACTTGTAGTTGTACGTCGAGAGTAGTTTTGTAAGAAACGGAAAAAGAAAAAACACAAGTCGTGTTGTCTCTGAAACGGAGCGAAACGAGCAGTGCGGGCGAACTCACAGGTGTGGGGGGTCGATTTGTAAAGCTCGATTGCTCCACCACCGAACACGGCTACATTATATTCTACATTATATTCTACATTATTTTCTACATTATACTCTACATTCTATTCTACATTGTATTCTACATTATACTCTACATCGTATTCTACATTATATTCTACATTATATTCTGCCGGAGATGTTGTAGATTCTCAAGTCTTTCAGCATGTGTTATCTTTTGTGGGAGTATTTTTTTTGTCACGACAAGAGTGATGAAGGGATAACACAGCTGCGATGGAATCAGGACTGATGACGTTATGTGACCGTTGTGGCGCACTTCCTCTCTCAATTGCAACTGGCAGCCAACAGCAAGTTCAACGTGGATGGGGCCGGTTCTGGCACGGCCCTGGTTGCCGGGGGCATCGTGCACGAGGCTGACAAGGTCTTGGATGAGCTGGTGGAGCTCAGGAAGTGGAAGGAAGGCATGGAGAGCACGTGAGTTGTTGTCGTTGCCCCTGCTGCTGCTGCTGTTGTTGTTGTTGTTGCCGTTGCCCCTGCTGCTGCTGCGGCTACTGTTGTTGTTACTGTTGTTGTTGTTGTTGCTGCTGCTGCTGATGGCGGTGCTGTCTTCACATGCCGCCTTGCTTTCGAAGCAGGACCAACAAAGAGGTTGACGGATCAGGCCCTGGCATAGCGCTGCTCATCACTCCTAGCCTTAAGAATCCACTCATTGGTGCGGGATTATCATGTTCGCACCATCATATACGACAGAGCACGAGCACGAGTCATTTTGTTTTTTCTTTCATTTTCTTTCCGCTACTTGTTGTCCTCCTTTCGCCGCCACTTAAATTTTTTTCCATGGCAGGCTGGATGAATTAAAACGGGATAAACAGACCCTCCAGAGCGAGAACCAAATGCTCAAGGGGCACGTTGCGGAGCACGGGCAACAGCAGAGGGTCCTGCAGAAGAAGATGCAGAAGATTCTCTTCTGCATGTCAGTCAAGCTTGGTTGGTTCGTGAGACGAGCCAATGCAACATCAGTCAGGCTCGAGCTGTCTATTTCGTTCTTTTTTTTTGTTCCATCACTTTACATCAGCGTTCACACCATGCGCTGTCTATGCATTCGAGAAATCTTGGTAATTTGTTGTAGTTGATCCTCATGTGCCTGTATTTTGTCATTTTTCGTCTTGTTATTTTACATGATGTGGCCATGTGTGGGTGTTCCGGATGTCGTCCTACGCACCCCGGCAATGTTGCTCGGATATCATAGCATGGGAGGTGTATGTATCATACCATGGAACGTGGCAATTTTTCTCGACAGGTACGACGGATACGTGTCTGGGTTAAGAGGAATCACCGCCCCCGGCGACGCGGAGGCAGTCGAACCGAATAAGGTGACAGCTCCGGCAACGACAGCAACAGACAGTGCACAAGGGCAGCGATTAGGTACGGCGTTGTTTCGCGCAGCAAAGGTTAACGTTAACGGTTGCTGTCGAACGTCGGGTATCGCTTGCTTGAGGTAGCAGCTTTGAGTCCATCCGTCGTGGGAGTGACACGGTACATGTAGGTATGTTGACGGAGGTGGAGGCATGTTGGTTTTTCGCAGGGGGAGGTTCTTGTCCGTGAAGACGTGCGTACCTACCCACGGTACCCCCCCAGGGAGTTGGAGTTGTTCCCCCCGCCAGGGAGTTGAGACACTGGTGCTCTGTAGCGTAGTCGTTGCTCCGAACGCTCCCCCGTCACTCCTTTGGTAAGAGTTCTCTTGTCTGGTCTCGGACCATCAGCACCGAATGACCCTCGAATCCTCGATGTATTTTGAGTCCTTTCGGCTCGAGCCGTTGTGACACCCGTGCGTTACACTGGCGCAGGCCATTCTAGTTAAGAGGCCGATCCTCGCTGCCGTACGCTCTTCGCCTCAGTCTACACTATCTTGTCACTCGCCTGTACCGACTCGGTCTCCGCTCAACCCTGCATTCTAAAGCAAGCCCCCCCCCCCCCCA